ACAGAATATTACAAACATAACCTGGCTTCGGTGTATACTCATGAGACTGTGGCAGGAAGATCAAGAGTTTGAGGCCAGACCACACTACAGAGCAATATAGTCAAGAATGTAGGAAGGTATCCAGGCACGTGGCACATACCTATAATTCCAGGAAACTAAAGCAGGAAGGTTAGGAGTTAAGGTCATCCTCAGTACTTAACAAGGTCAAAGTCAGTCTGGGCTATATAAAACCAGTTCTCCAAAATAGAAAAAAAAAAAAAAGGACAGCCAAAAAAAGAGGGAGGAAAGGGAAGAAGGAAGGAAGGAAGGAAGGAAGGAAGGAAGGAAGGAAGGGGAAGAGGGAGAGAGGATGAAGTTTTGTTTCACTTTGTTGCATTTTGTTCAGACAGAATCATTACAGAGCCCAGGTCAACCTTGGACTCAGTTCTGTTTCAGTCTCTGCATGCTGCGATCACAGTGTGAACTACCACATTCAGAAATAAATAATATTTAAAATATAAATTTATCAACCGGGCGGTGGTGGCGCACGCCTTTAATCCCAGCACTTGGGAGGCAGAGGCAGGCGGATCTCTGTGAGTTCGAGACCAGCCTGGTCTACAAGAGCTAGTTCCAGGACAGGCTCCAAAACCACAGAGAAACCCTGTCTCGAAAAACCAAAAAAATAAAATAAAATATAAATTAATTACTGTGTGTGTATATAATGGGATGCCACACATGCCACTGACCTCCTTTACATAGATGACAAATCAAACTCAAGTCTCCAACCTTGCAAGTCAAGTGCCTTTACCCACTGAGGTATCATTCAGTCCTGATAACTTTTTAATGAAAAGGAGAAAGGAAGTTGAGTATGGTGGCTCACACTTGTAATCGCAGCACCCCAAAGGCTAAGGCAGGAGAGTTCCAATCTAGCTTAGGTTACAGAGTAAGAGCAGAGAGAGAGAGAGAGGCAGAGAGAGGGAAGGAGGATGGGAGTAGGGAAGAGAGAGAGAGAGAGAGAGAGAGAGAGAGAGAGAGAGAGAGAGAGAGCGCATATGTACAAATGAAAGTGGAAGCTAGGTGCTGTCTTCCCTGTTTTGAGGAAAGGTCACTTTCGAGGACCTGAAGCTTATTGATTCCATTAAGACCCAGGGTTCTGCTTGTCTCCCTTTCCCCAGCACTAGATTTACAAATGCACACCACAGTGCAGCTGGAGACTGAATTCTGGTCTTCATGCTTGCATAGCTGAGCTGTTTCTTCAGCCACAAGACTTTGCTTTCATGGTTTTAATTTTCAGTCCAGTAGATAATCAATAATGTACAAGCACTTTTTTAAATACCTGTAATGTAGTGCAGTTAAAAAATGACTGAATTAACAAGAATAACACATTATGCTGTACACCTAAAATGTCTAGAGGTAGAGCTAGCTAATAAAAGTAAGACAAGGGATTTACAATGGCATAGTCATCAGAAGACAATACTGATGTCCTCAAACCACATGAGCTCTTCTTCCTCTCCTTAAGATAGGAAGATTTACTTGCAGCCATGGGCTAGCAATTGAATTTTTAAGCATTACTTTCTCAACAGTCTGACAATATTTCAATATTTAAAGCCCTATGTTCATCATGAGCTGAACAAGGATAGCAACAGGCATGCTAAAGAAGACCACAATTTTCAATCCAATACAAAAAAACTATGGGTCACTAAAATGATCAGAGTAGGAGAAATAGTCTTCCCTGGGGAAAAGCACACCAACTGATCATCTAATACCAATTGGTCCGTCCTGAAAACATGAATACAAATAATATTATACAGACTGAGTAGGTTTATATTTAGTAATATACATATATGCATATAAGCACAACTAATGAAAAAAGAGCATAAACTTGAAAGAAAACAAGGATGACTTTATAGAAAGACTTAAAGAGAATGGAGAAATAATGCAATTATATCATAATCCAAGAAAATAAAGGAAAAATATAGTCTGTACTCAGATGCCCATCACTGAAGCACTCACAGTCATCCAAAGAAGAGCTCATATACCCACATCCAGCTGACATCACATGCCCTGACCTGGAGTAGCAAAGGTTAGCGTTAGCAGGCCACATTGTTCAAGAGCTAGGGTGCTTTCACTAGGAGGAGAATGGACAAGTATGCTTAAATGCCCACTTCAAATGAGGATTATCTTTCTGTTCACATTGTCTGCTCATAATATTTGGATTAGAGTTGGTATGTTTGTAAAGGGGTTTTCAGTAAGCAAAACCCCAAGTGTCTTGTATGATTCCACCTCTATAGTGTAATAAATTGCAACAGTTTAGAAAAGGTACTCAGGATTGAATTAAGGGCTTTGAATATGCTGGGGGAAAAGATCATCTCATCATATGGAAAGTTAGCTAGGAAATTAAACCTCAAAGAGAGAATGGCACTCTTAATGGCAATGTCATTGTATGTATACCTCCACCCCTACTTTTTATTTTTGACTTTGAGATGGGTCATGGTAAATATATTTCCTAGGTTGAACTTGAATTCATGTTGTAGTAGGGCAGACCCTTGAACCTGGGATCATCATAACCTCCAGAGTAGCTGGAATCATGGGTCTGTGCCACCAAGAATCACTACATTAAGACACAGTCTACAAAATAACTGACAATTCATAAAAAGCATCAAGAGTTACAAAACTTAGCCAGGCATCATGATGCATGGCTTTAATCCCAGCATTTAGGAGGCAGAGTCAAGCAGATCTCTATGAGTTCCAGGACAGCCTGGACTACCTAGTGAGTTCCAAAGCAGCCAGGACTACTTGGTGAGACCTTGTCTCAAAATAAAGAGTTAAAAAGCTCAAAGATACAGGATTACTTCAGATTAATGGAAACAGAAGTAAGCAACTAAATACAGCATATAGTTCTAGATTGAATCTGCCCTAAATCAAGAGAAAAATGGTTGCTATAACATTAGAGGAATTTAAGTGAGTTCTGTAGATTAGATAATAATTCCAGATTCAATGGATAGTTTTGGTTGTCAGCTTGAATACATTGAAAGTTAACTAAAATGCAAATGTGGATGGCACACCTATGAGGGTTTTTTTTTTTTTTGGCTTAATATGAAGTAGGTAGATTCACGTCTAATCTTTGAGCCATAACCCAGATCTTGAGTCAGGAAGACACACTTTTAATCTATGTCACACCTTCGGAATACAAAATAAGGAAGATTTGCTCTTTGCCTGCCTGCTCTTGCCTTGTTAGCAAGGCCATTCGTTCCCTGACATTAGAGCCTATTTCTTCAGGACTCCAGTATATACTGAAGACTAGCTAAGACATCTAGCATCGTGAACTGAGCAACTACTGGATTCCTGGACTTTCCTTTCACAGCCATTGCTGACTTAGCTGGACTGCAGCCTGGAAATCATTCTAAGAAATCCCCTTTTCTAATATAATGAGAGATTCATTGTATATGTTTTGTTTTCCTGAGAATTCTGACTAACATGCCAGAGTTTTCCTGATTTTGGAACTTCCACATTGATGGCTGAGGGTGTGGTCCTGTGGTAGTTGGCCATCCAGGTGTACAAAGGTCCTGGGTTAGACCCAGCACCTAGAGAAGGAGGAAGAAGGTAAAGAGGGAAGCAGAGAGATAGGGCACCATCGTCCTGTTTTCTGGGTATTGAGAAGTGAAGCACAATAGGTGCAACTTGCTCTGACACATGAGTGGGCAGGTGGAGACACGTAAGTAGCTGGACCGGTAGAAGCAGTAATATTTGGTGTTTACTTAGTAGAATAATCTCGCTACAGCTGCTATCAAGCTACCAATGAATTCAGTACTGGAAAGAAAGATTCACATTTGATTTTTGTGGGCTGATTTTTGTGTGTGTGAAGGGCAGGCTCCAGCACACTCCTGTGTAGTAGTTATTACTTGTTACTACTTTTGTTAGTTTTCTGTAGTTCTTAAATTACTCCAAAATATTTTTTTCTGTTTTTGTTTATGAAACAGGATCTCACTTGATAGCCTAGCTTGGCCAGGAAGTTACTATGTATCCAAGAGTGGTCTTGAACTAGGAATCATCCTCCAGACTGCATCCAGGGTCAGGAAGCAGAGAAGCAGAAAGATGCTGCTCACAGTCCGGTTGAGTCTTTACTCTCTGGCTAAACTTTCTGGAAACAGACTGTTAGACCCATCTAGAGACACGTGCCCATGTAGTTCTAAATCTACTACATAAGCTGACAAGGAAAATCAACCGTCAAACCATCCCTGCCCCATCCTGGCCTGTGCATGGAATGTGTATCAAGAGCCAGAGATTGAGTGAAGGAGTGGGTAAGAAAAGTCTGCTGCTGGTACCCTCCTGAAGCCTGTGGCTGTTGTGGGGCAGCCATGTCCTCTTCAGAGCATCAACGACAATGTGCTCTTTGTTCATAAGAAGGTATTAAGAGCCAGATGTGGGAAAAACTAAGGCAGGGCCAGAGGTCTTAAGCTTGGGCCAGACTTGGCTACATTAATGAGACCCTGTCTCAAAATTTAAAAAAGAACTAAAAAGATATTAACCTAGTGGCCATTAAGCAATCAATTGTTAGGTCTTGAGACTTTGTCTCCTACATCCTGTTCTTTCAATAACCTCCTTTTCTTTGGTTCCGTGGAGACCAAAGACACCCTAAGAAGGTGGCTTCTCAAAACAGAGCCTAAACACAATAACAAAGCACTAGTAACAAAATATATAAACTTGGCATCACAGATGAAGCAAGTTTCAGATGCGCTAAAATGGTGGGATTATTAGGCATGCTGAACTTAACTTTCAACATCATTCTAAGCTGTGATCATGGCGAGGCTGAAGATTCTCACAGCACTTGTCAAGGTCTTAGATGCTTTAGAATTCACAAGAAGATGAAGTCCACAAGATCTAATTTATCAGTGCTATAGACAGGCACATGAGATACACCAGAGTGACTGCCAAGTTCCAACATAACAGCAAAACCAGAACATTTTAGATGATAACAGATTTAATGACACTTTTTCTTAAATGTGTGAATTCCCAAAATATCACATGACCGTTTTACACTTGACTAGGCCTGCGTGCTGCAGCTCATCTAGAACATTCCTGATGGTCTCAACACAAACTTCTCCTCTGTGGTGTTTTTTTGACGCGAGGTTCCATACATTTTCAAATTCTTCATCAGAAAGCTTGACTCCAATGTTAGTTAATATATTTGAAATCTAGAAACAACAAATTTAAAGCCAGATCAAGATTTATGTTTTAATTTTGTATTTTAAACAATTAAGTAAAATAAAATTATATTTAAAAAACTTTATAACATTTAATACAATGCACACTCCCCCAAAGTATGTGTGTCCACATATGCCTATGTGCCTATATGTATCAAAATTCTAGTACTTTTCAGGCATGGGAGGGAGTGCATTCCTGTAGCCCTGAGCCAGTGATGGTGCTTGCTGCCAGGACTGATGGCCTAGGTTTGATCCCTTCATCCCACATCATAGAAGGAAACAACAGATTCCCACATGTTGTCCTTTGGCATCTACATATACTCAGGCATACATGAAACACACATACAAAATATAAATAGATGATAGATAGATAGATAGATAGATAGATAGATGTATATTTTAAATTTAACCCACCAAATAAAAATTAACTAAATTTAAATGAATAAAAACACCTGGGCATGGTAGTGTGCGTCTCTCATCGCAGCACTTGAGAGGCAAAGGCAGGAAGATGCTCTAGAGTTGAAGCCCTACTGGTTTACACAATGAGACCCTTTGGGAGAGGGAAAAGAATTATACTATACACCCAAAAAGAAATAAAAAGAAAAGCTTAACAACCAGTTACAACCAAAATGAATATAATTTATCAAGAATCCTAAGTTCGAGGATCTATATAAAAGCTATAATTCTGAAAAGTCAAATATGGTAGTCATGGGTTGGGGCTAGGACCAGGGTTAGAGGTGGGACTGAGTTGGTAAAGCTCTTGCCTAACATGCACAAAACCCTGGATTTGATTCCCAGCCTGATAAGTACCAGAACATACATGTAATCTCAACACTCAGGAGGTGGAAAGAAGGATTAAAAGTTCAAGACTAATCTCAGCTACATAGCTGATTTGGAAGCAAGCCTGAATCACCAGGATGATGATGATGATGATGATGATGATGATGATGATGATGATGAAAATTAATAATAATAATAATAATAATAATAATGTGAATAAACCTAAAAGCAATACCATATGCTTGTAATCCCTGCACTTAGTAGGATGAAGCAGGAAGATCATGATTTCAAGTATAGCCTGGGCTACAGAACAAAACCCTGATATGAGATGTCTCTCTATATGTTGTGAATATGTTTTATTACCATTGGTTAATAAAGAAGCTGCATTGGCCAATGGCAGAGCAGAGTATAGCTAGATGGGAAATCTAAGCAGAGACAAAGGGAGAAAGAAGGCAGAGTGAAGAAACATCAGCCAGCCACCAAGGAAACAAGACATGTTGAAAATGTGGTAATACTACGGCCATGTGGCAATACACAGATAAATAGAAATGGATTAATTCAAGTTGTAAGAGATAGTTGATAGACGCAAGAGCTATCAGCCAAACAATTTGTAATTAACCACTCTGAGTGGTTATTTGGAAATTGGAGGGCAGGAGAGAAATGTCTGGTTACAAATGTGTCAATGCAAGGCACATGCATCCACATAAAGCCTGAAAAATCTTTTTTAAGGATTCTAGACACACAAATACAGAATGAGAAACAATTTCTTAGTAGTCACATTTTTTCAGATAGGCTGTGTTTGCTGACTGTGAGCAGCTGTGTGACTCCTTTAGGAGACGGCTTCCCAGTTCATGCTTGTGGCCTGGATGGCTCTTTTGCAGGTCCTGCTAAGGAGCACCTGAATGGGGTTTATGGGCAGTATGCTGCAAGTTACTTGCTGATGGCATGGACCCACTGCTTCTGAGTTGGGTCAGTAAACATGGCTCCCAGAATGGGTTGTGAACATACCTCTGTCATGTTGGAAAGCCTAGCGGGGCTGAACCAACAGCTCTGGTTGTAGCCATGCCTGCTTCACATTTTTAAACAGTAATCAAAAACTGATTACAGATATGCAATAAAGACAGATTCTGACCCCCCCCCAAAAAAACCCTCTAAACAGTAATAAGTCACATAAAGATGGAAGATGGAAAATACACAGAGACTGGATTATGTACAATATTGTGTTTTCTTTGAATTTTTTGACTATTAATGAACTAACTACAGAGAGAGACATTTGATTGTGGGGACTGCTAACTGAAAGCAACATAAAGGTATCTTGATATCAAAATTTGGGTCTAAGACTTATTACTTTGGAAAAGAGGTTCTGCTTTTGTGTCCATAGAAGGTGAGAAGCTGTAGATACCTTCCAGGCTAATATGGTTTGAACAAGGAAGACTTCACTGAGATGTCTCCAGTAAGAATGATGACCCAGGTTATCCAAAATCCAAAACAACTTTAAAGCAAATGGCTGGAATGATGCAGCCTCATGGACTACAGCTTAATTTAACCATAATTCTAAATTTTCTAAGGATCCCGATAAGATTACAAATGCCCCCAATCATCAGGAAGTAGTATAGAAAACTATGTCCAAATTCTGAAATTATTGTTTATAGATATTTGTTTTCATTTAAAGGGAGTTGGTTATAAATAGTTAATGGTTGCAGTCAATCTCTTTCTAAAGAAAAAGGGGATATATGATATAGAAATGAGGTAAAAATGGTAGACTATTAAATCTACTTTAATCCAATAACAAATGTTAATCTCAAACTACATTAGTATGGATTTTGGTTTATTGATACAAATTTAAGGTCAATTTTTTATACTGCATATATATTTCTACTCTTGTTTGAGGTATTATGTTTATGTAGTTCATTTAAAAAATGCAATGTATAATTAAAAATACAGATTAATAGTCATCTATAATAGTCAAACTTCTAGTCATGTTAAGTCTTCCAGATATGCAGAGAAATATTTCAGATGGATAAGTAATCTTCAAACACTTAGAAACCTATAGAATATAACATTTACAATGTTTTAATAACTTAAAATTTGTTGGTCATGAGATATCTGCTCCTGGTAGTGCTAATTACTTCAAGAGAAAGATGGGCATTGAAGAAGCTCCTTATGAAGTTTGCTTTCAGTGTGGCAAGGCTGGCCATTTGGGCAAGAAACTGCTCTTTCCTGGATTGATGACAATATGCTGTATAAACTTTTTTTTTTTAATTTTCAGTGATTCTGAAAATACCAGGCATGCTGAGATGGGCTGATGGGCTGTATGTAAGCTGACATATAGGACCCACAGTAAAATGACTGCCAAACTTGCCAAAACAAAATGGGACAGTCCTTCAGGGTTCCTGCTTCACAAAAGAAACTGCCAGACATTCTGCAGGAAAGTGATTGACAAACTGCCAATATAATCAGGGCAGTCTTTAAAATTTCCTGCTTCACTGAAAAGTCTGCCAGTTTCTATGGGCCCAATATTGCAGAGGAACTTTGGGTGACTATCCAGGCAGTTGGACGTCTCTGTCATTTTTAGAGTTTTGGAAGTTACTCAGGTTATATTATATCCTTTTTAGGGTATTTCATGGAGTTGATGACTAGATAACCATAATTGTAGTTTTCCTTAGTTATGATAAAAGATAAATCAGATATGAAACTTTAGACTCACAAAGATAGGGCAGATACTATATTATTTTCTTTAATTTTACAAAATACAAATAGACTAAATGTTATATCTGTAATTCTTTCTTGATATCTGTTTTCTTATATGTAATTTTACAATGTTAAAGGTAAAACATTCCTTTTTGATTAGACAGAAAGGGAGAAACTATATGGGATGTTTCTCTGTATGCTGTGACTATGTTTTACTACCATTGGTTAATAAAGAAGCTTCTTTGGCCTAATGCAGCGCAGCATATAGCTATGTGGGAAATCCAAGCAGAGATAGGAGAAAGAAAGTCAAGTCAGGAGACATCAGGCAGCCGTTGAGGAAACAAGACATTTTGAAAATGAGGTAACACCATGGCCATGTGGCAATACATGGATTAAGAGAAATGGGTGAATTTAACTTGTAGCTAAATAGAAACCTAAGTCTTTGGCCAAACAGTTTTCAATTAATATTAAGCCTCTGAGTGGTTATTTGGGAACTGGAGGACAGGAGAGAAATGTTCAGTTATAAAACCCAGTCTCAAAACAAAATAAATAAAACACTAGCCAAGTATGTTGGTTCATTCCTATAAATAAATGCAATACTTTGGGAAGCTGAGACAGGAAAACTACCAAGAGTTGTAGACCAATATGGGCTACAAAGTGAGTTCCAGGCCAGAGTAGGGGTAAGAAGAGAAATGCCATCTCAAATAAAAACAAAAGAAAAGAACAACACTGATCACAATAATAATAGTAGTCACTGCTAAGTCAAAACTTCTGTCTTTGTATATTTGCATAGGACTGGGGTGATTTCTGTACCTCTTCCTTTGATCTGGACTTGAAGAAGTCTCTCTCAAACACGCCTTTCTGGGAGAAGATGGAGGGCTGCAGCAGGGAGTAAGCATTGCCGTCTTCACCATAGTTATTTCTGTCACTGACACGACGAATCCGAGGAGCGGGAATGTCAGATCGAACAGTCGGAACACCATATATGGGGTAACCTAGTTCATCAGTGAGGGCAAAAAAGACACCCTGAAACTCAGTTATTTAACAGTAGCCACCTTTGACCACTCAGCACTTGTAAATGGTCAAACTACAATGGTTTATGTGTAAAGTTCACAGACTTTACAAAATCAGAGTGTGGCCAAGCACAGCAGGCTCACCTTGGTTCCAAGGACGTGGGAAGCTGAGGCAGGAGGGATAATGCTTGAGCCCAGAAGATCAAGCCCAGGTTAGGAAAGCATTCAACACGCTCATCCATCAGTCTCAATTTTATTAATATAGGTTTCTTTTTTAACTTGGGTCATCATGAACAGATCCGTAAGACATATCTGTGAGACCCCTGAGTACACAGTTAAACATAAGTCCCAAGGCCTTGAGAAATGTATAATCTATTGCAGAGAGAGGCTAGGAACAGTACAAAGACACACTATGAACATTACACGTCCAGGTGTACTAATTACTTAACTTGACAAAAAAAGTGACATGCTTACATATAGAAGGAACAGCTCCAACAGTTGCACTGATCTCAGAAGAAGTTGTCTTATAGTGGTCTGAAACTTTGTCACTTGGTCTCAGGAGTACCCGGAGAGTCTCTTCTGAACTCCCTGGTTCTTTTGGGACGATATCTTCAGGCCGAATCAGAAGAGTTGGTTCAGCTTCTCCCACGCTAGTCTCAGTATTGTTTTCACAGTCTGGTTTACTAACTTGACCTTGAAGCAAAACCAGAGCCAGAGGACAAGAAGGCATAGGAAGAGGTCACTTCTTGGTGCTTGCTGTTCTGTAACAAGCTGGATTATTTGGACCTGCAAGGTGACTCAGCGGGTAAAGGCATTTGCCACCTGCCACCAAACCTGGCAGCCTAAGGTGGAGCCCAGGGACCCACATTGTGGAAGGAAAGAACTGGCTCCCTCAAGTTGTTCTCTGGCCTTTACGTGGGCACTGCAACATGTGCAGCCACATACGTAATACACACGAGTAATAATAATAATAAATGTAGTGATTTTTAAAGATTAATTTACTTTGTAACCTCCTCCTAACAGTCGAAATGAGCACCTGTGGAGCTGTTGCCAGTGCCAATGCTCCACTGTGGAACAGCAAGTTCAGGCCAATGTCAGGTGTGATCCCAACATGACCTGGTGTCACTTTCTGCTATCCCATGGACTTTATTCAAAAAAAGAGTCTCTTTGTTTCGGAGAACCAGAAACAAAGGATCCTTTACCTTTATTTCTTCCTATACCGAGTAAACACAGAGTCTCATGGAAGCAGACGAGAGCTCCAGCTCCCTCTTCACTAGAGCTGGGCCTCCTCCTTAGCTTGAACTATGCAGCTTCCCCCAAGACTGAGTCCTAAAGGGGGGTGTAAGACATACTTGGAACTGAGACGTTCACAAGGAGATGGCTCAGTGGGCAAAGGTACTTGACAATAAGCTTGACAATCGATCTCTGAGTAAGCCTGAGTTCAATCTCTGGGCCCCACATGTTCCATACTGTCCTCTGACCTGTGGCACACATGTGAAGCACATACACACTACACATGTTGTTTTTATAACTAGGTTTTCTGCCTGATATGTATGTATATCAGGTGTGGGATTGGTGCTGCTAGAGATCAGAACAGGACATCAGCTCCCCTGGAACTGGAGCTCCTAATGGTTGTGAGTCACCATGTGGGTGCTGGAATTAGAACCTATACCACCGAGTCATCTCTCCACCCCCCAGTATAAAAAAGTTAAAAGATACTCCCACATATTCTTAGTCTAGGTGGGCAGAGCATGCCCCATCCAGAGAAAGGATAAGAACATACTGTGAGCTAGGGGCCCGCATCTCTAAATAACTTCCTACAAGTTAGTGTACAAAGAAAAACCCAGTACTGTGACTGACAAGGCGGGAGCACGTGCAGTTAGTATGCATCAGGCACTGGGCCCAACCCAACTGCCAAAAGGTGAAACAGTGAAGTAGAACTGAGCCTGCTGACTGACTTGTCAGTCACTTCAGAAAGCCAAGACACCACTGGAGGGCACTGTGGTGCTTCCACGGCCACAGAAGACCGTTCCGGAAATCCACTCAAGGGTTTCAAAGGAGCTCTAAGGGACAGCTCTAGGGGACCTAACGTTTAGGGAGGCATGCCTTGAAAGTTCGAGGCTCTAACCCCCCCCCGCCCCCCCCCCCCCGCCATCCCCGTGCGTCCCCCCCCTCGCCGCCCCTCCCGCCACACACATACACACACCTCTAAAAGCAGAAAACTACATCGTTTGGCCCGCCAGGACAGGCTCCAAAGCTACACAGAGAAACTCTGTCTCAAAAAAAAAAAAAAAAAGAAGAAGAGGAAGAGGAAGGGGAGGGGAGGGGAGGACCTGAGTTCACTTCCCAGCAACCACATGGTGGCTCACAACCATCTGTAATGAAATCTGGCACCCTCTTCTGATAAATCAATCAATCAATCAATCAATCAATCAATCTTAAAAAACAAAAAGGCAAATCTCATTGCTGCCCTTCCTCTCAGCCACACATTTCCATCTTCCTGAGTGTTCTCACATTCTTTCTTTTCCTTCCCTATTCATCCCCCACATGAACAAACACATATGCACAATGTCCTAGTGCCCTTCATGTGGCTGTGACAAATTGGCGGAAGTCAGAGCCTGAATTGAAGCAGGAACAGAACCAGAAACTATGGAGGAACATTGTTTACTGGTTTCTCTTGCTCATGCTCAGCTACCTTTTTTTAAGATTTACTTATTATTTCTATCTACGTGATTCTGTGTGAGGCTGCATTAGTTTATGTGCGCCACATACATGCAGGTGCCTGTGGACGCCAGAGGGCAGTGAGTCCCCTGGAACTAAAGTTACATGCAGTTAAGAGTCACCTGATGTGGATGCTGGAACTGAACCTCAATTGACTGGGAACTGGCCCCTCTGCAAGCACTAAATACTCCTAACCATTGAGCCATCTCTCCAGTGTGGAGGCCCAAAAATGTGAGCCTATTTCCACCTTGTCTGATGGTCAGAGTTTGGAGGTTGCTTAAAATAGTTGACAAGTATAGCTGCACATCCCAATTCAGGACGTGATTACTTGGTTTTTTTGACATTAAGATGGCTCATACAGGTAGATCCATTTCATCCTGCCAGATGGTCAGGATATGCAAACATATTTCTGCTCCTTCTTTTGTATTATGAGGTTACCTGGGGAGTAGCTGCCTTCAGGATACTTAGTCTAGGGTAGCTTCACTGCCTAAACAACAGAATGCTAATGATTTGGTGCCTCAAGTGTTAAAGCAATTAATTGTTCAAGTTGCCCTTTGTATTATGTTAAAGAAGTCTTTTGTTGCCTTCTTCCCCTTTTGTATTGGGGTATAAAAGTATATGGAAAGTTAAGCACAGATGGATTTCAGAATTCATGGGAATGTACTCCTGGTACTTTCTAGGGTTTCTGTTTTTATTATTTTCACGTGTCTTGGTATTCTTTACTAATATTTCTAAATCCTTCTGCCCCTACCCTGGTAAGATGTATTTTTGTCAAGGCCAGTCCCCAACACATCAGCCCCTCAGATAGTTTTCTTATACAGCCCAGACCCACCTACCAAGGGAGGGTACTACCTACAAAGACTGAGTCCTCCCCTCATTGGACTGAGTTCTTCTCTTCCTGGACTGGGCCCTCTTACATGAATCATCAACTAAGACAGTCTCTCACAGAATCTGATCTATGGGCAATCCCCCAGTTTAGAATCCCTCAAATGATGCTGCGCTGTGACCAACTGACTGATGAAGCTAACTAGGACACACAATATTAAAGTATGTTGAGATCCTAAAAACTACAAAAATATAAAACTCTACTTAAGAATTCAGCAAGTTTTCAAGCCATACCTTTAATAATGACTCTCTTCTCATACTCTGTGAGAGGTACTTTGTCTTTCCAGTTAAGGAAATTGGCAAATTCCAGATAGTTAATCAGGCCATCCTGATCCACATCACAGTAATCAAACAGCTGGTTCAGAAGCACCTTGTCTAGATGCAGGTTTGCCTGGTCACAAGCTTCATGCAGTTCTTCTCTGTCGATCATCCCATCTCCTTTCTGTTGACCAGTAAGCAAAGGAGGGTAATATGAGTGTGGTTTCTGATTTAAAAAAAAAAAAATGGCTCTAGCACACACACTTAGCAAATTCCAACCTCCACTAAGAGGAATCAAATATTATATATGTAAAGCAAGAGTTATCCTCATTGACTCAACCTGATAGATACACTTCGCAGTTTGTGATCCTAGTATAAGCAGAGTATAATTCAGAACCCTTTTGTTATTGGTCCTGATGATTGATTCCAGGCCCTTGCACACACTTAACACATATGTGCTATGCTCACAATCCCACTTATTTTGATCACCTTTTTCTTTTCTTTTCTTCCTCTTATTTATTTATTTATCTTAGTATTTTATTGTTGTTTCGAGGCAAGGTCTCATGTACTCTAGGTCAGCTTTACGATCAATTATGTAGCTGAGAATGGCCATGAATTCTGGTCCTCGTATCTCTGCCTCCCTAGTGCTGGAATGACAGGCTTGCTCTCACACACCCTGCTTAATCATATCCTTTAAACCAAACAGAGTGCCCTGGAATGTAGCTGTCATAATCATAAAACACGCTTGGCATTTCACTTGAGCAATGTTTTTGCATGTCTGACAGCTCATTACAATTTTTCATGCTGACAGAGTTAACACCTATTTTCTCACCAGGGCCACAAATTGTCCTCTACTTCATTGCTTACCAACAAGGAAAATAGAGATGATATTACAAAGCAAAGAGTAGGGAGGCCTAGTTTTGTTTGATATTACTCCTGCTAACAAAGGAGAGAAGCCACTAACCCCTCAAGTCTACCCTCATTGTAGCATTGTTAAGATTCATTCTTCCAGAGAGGAAAAAACCCTTAGTCCCCTTACATGTAATGGTTGAAGGCATAAATCACTACACTACATGTTACTGGAGGGAAACTGATGACAGAGTAAAGAGAAATTTGAGTGGTTCCCTTGGGAGAAGAAGGAGCAGAGTAGAGAGTTCTTGTTAAGGAAGATAGTCCACAGCTAGAACATCTTAACCACTCAGTCCCTCATGCGTTCCTTCAAGCCAACCTTAGATGCACTTAGAGATGATGCTATGGAGCTAAGGATTTCATTTTGTGCTCCACCCCTGTGGGAGGTGGCTTTGAGCAGTGAATTCTGGGTGCTATAAGTGGGAATATAGCTCAAGAGTAGAGTATTTGCCTCAACTGTGTGAGGCCCTAACTTCTATACTCAGCACTGAAAAAAAATAAATTAAAGAGAAAAAAGAATATATGAATGTGTTAGCCCATTAGAGAGATTTAGGTAAAGAATTGTCAAGAGAAACTACTTATGAATGAATCATTGAGCATTACTGGGGCTGTAGCTGCTCAAAGTTGAATTCAGTGCCACTGAAGATAAATCCCTGCAAAAATGGCCCAGTGAGACAGACCAAGTGAATTCTAAATAAATTACTGTGGCCCTGGAGAAGTTCTCTATGCCTCCTGTTGTTAACACATATTACCTTGACAATGGAGTTATAAATGGCCTAGATTAATGTAAACTCCTTTATAAATATCTGTATGGTAAACCCAAGCCAATCAAACCATGAACCTGCTATCCTGTCAGGAAAGCAATGTAGTAGCTACTGATGGAATCAAAGAGTTCACAAAGCTAAAATAGATGCTGTCAATTTTGACAGCTTTGCTGCCTAATACAAGGTTTGTATCCCCCTAAAGCACAGGCATTTTATTTTCATTAAACTCATGTTACTCAAAGCTCAAGGGAATGGTGGGGCTACAGGGAACATAAAAATTTGCTTTATGATTTATAGGGACAATGATAGACAATAGTGAAAAGCCCAGTTGTAACTCTTAGTCCCGCCAAACTCTTAGCTGTCCTTCTATTCCAGTGCTGTGTACTGTGCATGTTTAACAGCTGGCTCTCAGGTAGGTGGAGAATAAGGAAATCCTGATTCCATTTTTTAGGGTGAGAGTTGTTCAGGTCTTGGTTTTTTGAGACAGAGCCTCGCCCAGGCTTGTGTCTATCATGAATCTTCCTTACCCTGGCTCCCAAATGTTGGGACTTAGGCATGTACTACCACACTCCTCAAAAAGCCCTGAGTTGTAACAGTTGCTACACTCCGTGGTACAATTCTTTTCTTTCGTTGGGAACATTTTGTAGTTGCCAATATGATACCCTTTGGCTTGCAAACATGACGGCATGCTCTCTCAAGCCTGCTTATGCTCAAGTGCCATCACGCTGTCACTCTTATGGTTACATTTTCAAGCTCTGAGTAAGTTAATGTCTACAAATATCCAAAACAACGCTTAACGGGACAATATACACTCAATGAATGATACTTATAAGCAAGAATATTCATTTAGGAAACCAAAGTTTGTTTGCTGTCTTGATTATTTTTCTATGAAACTGAATCAGAACATTCAATAGTTTTGGATTCCATTGCACTAGATCCACATTGTCCTGGCTTCTCAGTAAAACTATTCCTTAAGGATGCCAAACACTACACACTACAGATTAAAAGTTGATGGTTTAAAAGACGCATCATCATTAAACAATGCTCAGGGATGTGATGTCATCATAAGGAGCCTGCCTAGTGGCTTACTTAGATAACCAGCAGCTATTAAGATCGTATTTCTTATAACTGCATTCAAAATGAACTTTTAAAAAGCAAAGGCAGATGTCCTAGTTAGGGTTTCTACTGCTGTGATGAAACACCATGACAAAAAAAGGGGGGGAGGAGGGAAAGGCTTACACATCCATATTGCTGTTCATCTTCAAAGGAAGTCAGGATAGGAACTCAAATATGGCAGGATCGTAGAGACAGGAGCTGATACAGAGGCCACAGAGAGACACTGCTTGCTGGCTTGCTCCCATTGTTTCCTCAGCCTGTTTTATAGAAGCCTGGACCAGCAGCCTAGGGATGGCACCACCCACAACAGGCTGGGTCACTCCCACATCAGTTACTAATTAAGAATTATCCTATATCTGATAGAAGCATTTTCTCAATTGAAGCTCCCTCCTTTCAGATAGCTCTAGTTTGTGTCAAGTTGCCATTAAGACTAGCCAGCACAGCAGATTCTGTTATTCGTATTTGTGAGCTGTTTCAAACTGACTGAAGGTAGCTAGGAAGTATGATGCCTGAATTTCATCCCAACAGTGCACACACACACACACACACACACACACACACACATACACACACACACATTACAACAGATTTGAGTCGGGTATCATAGTGCATGCCTGTAATCTCAACTTGGAAGTGGAGACAGGAGGCTCAGAATCCAAGGGCAGCCTGTGCTACAAGTAACCCTATCTAGCCAAGTTTGTACGGGTGTGGGGGTGCTCTGTCAGTCTCTCTCTCTCTCTCTCTCTCTCTCTCTCTCTCTCTCTCTGTTTCTATGTGTATATGAATAAAATTTTAAATCTGATTACTTTAACTTACATATTTTATATTGAAAATCATCTTGAAATTGAGGATACCCAGTAGTCATTAAAAACCAGACAAAGTATCAGATATATTTTCTCTTTCTTAATTTAATCTGTAATTATGTGTATATGTCCGTATGAGGGAATGTGCACATTGTGCAGGGCATCAGATTCCCTGGAGCTGGAGCCAAAACTGAGCCAATTGCAAATACTGGGAACGAACTCAGGTCCTCTACAGGAACTAAGAGCCATCTCCACAACCACACATACATTTTATTTACTTTTCATTCTTTTCTTTTTCTTTTCCTTTTATTTCTTTGTTTGTTTGTTTCTTCTATTGTGACAGGGTCTTTCTGTGTAGTCCTAGCTGTCCTGGAACTTGCTATGTAGATCAGCCTGGCCTCAAACTCACCTGAAATGTGCCTGTGCCTGGCTACCCAATGATGGGATTAAAGGAAGGTGCGACCTTGACTCACTTATACTTTCTTAAAACACATTTTTGAGGGCAAAGCAGTGACTTATAGACATCTGTTGTCACCTATGTGGTTATCATTACTTCTTTACAAAGGGTGGGAGACAAAGACAAAACAGAGTTTTGCTAGACAGCCCTATCAACAGGCCTCAAAAAACTTGATTCTCCTGCATCAACCATGGAATACTAACCAGTCCAACATTTGATGCCTCGAATTAGTACAATTTTAAGTGAATATGTTTTCTTTTCTGTTTATATTTTATTTTATTGATAATGAGAAGTATTATTCATTAGTGCACAGTTATGTAATTCCCAGGCCTAAAACCAAAGTAGTTGTTCTTAAATAAATTAGCCAGTGAGCAATGGATATTTTTAATTAATTTTTAAAATGAAAAAAAAAAGCACACACAAACACTGTGATCAGCACAGGAAGGGAAGGGAGACAGAAATATTTCTCTTTTTTTTCTCTTTTTAAAATTATTCTGCACACACACACACACACACACACACAGTTTAATTTACAATTTAACGAGATACTTGTACTTAGGAAGTACATAAACCCATTAAGGATCAGAAGGAAGAGAAGCTAATGCAGAACTAAGATTTTAAGGTTTTGTAAAGACTTTTAAGGTTTGTTTTGTATTTCACTCGGCCTTATTCATATCTCAATTAGAGCACTATGCAGTGACATGATTTATATTCATGTTGCCTTGGATTCTTTATAATTATTTATTGCAAACTTGTGGCTGTTTCTATTAACTTTCTTTTATATGAATAATGGACACAAATTTCTTAAAATTTTTGCTTATTTAATTTTGAATAAAAACTAAATTCATATTAAAATTTTTGTTATACTCTATACCAACACATATCATATGTATTGATATCACACTCATTCGAAAATGGTTTGTAGGTTCAGCAAAAAAAGCTCAGTGGGTAGGGACACTCATGCCAGACCTGATGACCTGAGTTTAATCCCCGGATCCTACAAGAATCTTTTTAAATCCTCTTAATCTACCTAGAAAACCAGATACAATGAGGCACAAAAGAGAGTAGAGGAAAATCAAAGCAAAGTAAGAATGAAAAATAAATTCAAATGCCCACAAAGTTGACCCTGAAATTATTCAATGGGCTATGAGCTTCCTGAAAAGCAGGGCAAAAAATTTGAAAAGGAACTGGAAGTGCAAGTCAGAGCATGCCACATGCTTAGCATATGTAAAGTCCCAGGTTCAACCTCCAGCACCCAAAACTAAATGAACAAATTACATTTACAGTAATTTAAAATGTTTTAATCTTGGCATGGAGGTGCAGCCCAATTGATATGGGGCTTGATTAGCACATTCAAAGCCAGTTGCTAAATCCGCAGTACCACATAAACCAGATGTGGTTTTATGTAAAGTCTTTGATCCTTACATCTTGTGCTACAAAACAACAACTACAAGAGACCCTGTCTCAAAAAAAAAAAAAAATCAAATGGTCTTGCACCCATTGGCTGGATATCAGTTCCGAGTCAATGGAATTCTGATTCAGTTAGATATAGATTGACGTTTCTATGTATAGACACCAAAACTTAAGTATAAGACTGTGCAGTGTCCCCTGCAGATCCGCAGAGCTACATTTTCCCTTGTTCTCAGAACACTGAGAATTACCCAGTTGGAGGACAAAAGTAGCCATTGACCATGCTTCAAACCACACAGTCATAAATGTGTTTCAACTAAACTGCACTCACCTCCAGGCCATAGTTTACTAAACCCCCTATCTGCACCAGTCTGCTGGAATTTACCTATGCACCATACCCCCTTGTTCTGCAGGACTACTGGCCTTGTCATAGTGCCTGAAAGCCGACAGCAAAGTGTTAAAGTGCTGGTAATTAAATTTCTTCAAGTGATGACGAGCCGCAGCAATCACGGCTCGCTGGCGGTCTTTGCCACGAAGATATTCACCAGGGTGTCTGTAATGGATGAGATCACCAGCTCCTATTGAAGAAAGAAGTTGTCTTACATTGTGAATCTAAAATAAGCCCCTAGTGTTTCCAGAGAAGGAAACAGAGGCAGAGATAGACAAAAGCAGAGAGACCTAGAAACCTCTAGGAATGAAAAACACAAAAACCAATCATATCTAATGCTGGCACTTCCCACCACTACTTCAGTTTTGTAGACAAGGTCTCATGTAGCTCAGGCTGGCCTCACTGAACTCATGGCAATCTTTTCAGTCTCCTAAGACTGGAATTCCGGGTGTACAGAACACACTCGCTCTGATACTATTATGCAGAATACTTCTGTGTATAAAAAGTAGACATAAAAGTTAATGTTTCTGTTTGGTCTTTTTAAATAAGGATGTAGTGCATGCAAGGCTGTATGCAGGAGTGTACATTCATGAAAGTGCAGGCAAGAGGCCAGAGTAGAGCTTCAGGTATCTTCCTCTATCATTTCCCAGTAACTGCCTTAAGCCAAGGTCTCTCCGTGGGCAGGCAGCTCACATTTTCAGGACAGATGTCAGTAAGTTCCAAGGACCTACTTATCTCTGGCCCACAATGCTGGAGTTACCAATGAGGAGAGCCATTCCTGGCTTCGTACATGGGTGTTAGGGATTCAAACACAGGTCCTCAGGCTATTACAGCAAGCGTTCTTACTTCTGAGTCATCCATTCCCCCAAGTCTCTGATCATGAAAACATCTACTGAAAGCGTAAGTCACAAACAATGCCACACCAGTTTGGAATTATGATTAATAGGGTGGTATTTTTTAAAGGGGAAAAACTTACAGATCACAGCCCTCTGCGCAACCAGGAAGGGAGTCTAGTTGTCAGCGGTGCAGGAAGTGAAGAGAGAGAGCAGAGGGAAGAGGCCGCTTTTTTAAATGGAGAGAGACCACGCCCCAATGAGCTGGTATCTCAGCGGCTATAGGCTGGAGGAGTGGGAGGACCTCCCGCAACACCTCCCCCTTTTGTTTAAATAAGAGAGTTCTAAACCTACTATGAAAGTATATACAATAAGTACAAATATCCTATTCTAACTAGCTTAGATCTTGTATAATAAATAACTTGGCCAAGTCATGAGAGAAAGTAACTACATTTACATAGTCTTCAACCCCATTAAAGATCTGAGAAGGGAAATAATGTTACCTGGGTAATTAGGAAGTTCAGTAAAACAACTTCCAAAACATGCAACAAATCACAGAGACAACTAGCTACCTGGACAATCACCCAAAGTCACATTAGCAGCGTTGAAGCAACCAACTTTGGCTAAGGCATAACATAACTGACATACCATTTTCAAAGGCAAGCAACTTTTTCAAAACTATCTTACCCTGTCTTGGCAGGATATGACAGTCCTGTTTTATCCATTGATGCATGCTCTGTATCTCTGTCAGTGGTTGAGGTATGGGCATTTCTTTGCCCAAAGGCCAGTTCTGCCAAAAAAAAAAAAGGCTCCAGGTGGAGTGTCTTTGGTGCTCAACATTCTCTCGGGAATAGAGTGGTGTTGCCAGGAGCAATTGTGTCTCACTACCACAAAACTCTGAGTTAGATTAAAGGCCATTTTCTACAGCTCTTGGAAGAAGTTGAAGATTATCTATCTATACTGAGTATAATCTCTATATATCTAAAGAACCAGATTAGTCTAATTATAAATGAAAAACTTAGATGACTATTAATGTATATAATTCTCAATATCTATCTAACTTAAAGACTAAGACAATAAACAACTGTGAAAAAAATAAGGACAATGACCTCCAAATATAAACAATGTATAAATATACATTGCAGTAGGTAAATAAATATCAATACACAAACATTATATAAGTATCTTAATCAGAGGTAGAAAGGTACACTGCAATATGGTAAATATATACAATATATATATCAATACAATATATGTCAACACATAAAAAATGTTTTAAACAGAGGTAGAAACATGCATGCATACAATAGTCAATATAATTTAACTTTGTATCAATATACAAGAATCTATACCAATATATTTGTCTAAAAACAGTAACTCACAATTACAAATCTATTTTCCCATCATCCCTCTTTTTTTTTTCAAAATGATCCCTGAGCTTATAAAATTCCTCCCCCAACCCTCATTCGTATACTAATTATAATCAACCCCTAAATGATGTCCCTAAACCCAGGGGCAAACTTTACTGGGAGAGGGGCCGTCGTCCTCTAGAATTACTTCCAGCTGTCATGGGGGCGACGTTCTTTCTGGGGGATCCTGTGAAAGTAAAATGATGGTTAAATTTCAAGATCAATGTCTTTTAAAATTGCCAATAGTCTCTGAGTATTTTGTGCAGATCTGGCCAAAATGTTGTATAAGATGTGCACCATTTCAGCTAACCAAGTTGGAACTGTCTTGTGCAGCTGGTACCCAAAGCAGGTCTTGTAGTAGCACTATCAGTATCATGACGTCATATCAACCAGGTGGAGTTGTTGTTATGGGGCCCCATCTTCTTCCTGGAAACTTCAAATGTCACTTCAGGAAAAACTCAGTGTTCATTGTGAAAAACTTAAACATTAATCATATAGACATATATATATATATATATATATACTGAAAGGCATGATAGATATATTCAATGAAAAGTATGATAGATATGAAGAAAAGCAAAGATGTTTTCTAAACTCATATTTCTTTCTGTCCCATATCATGGCTCTTGACATGAGACAGAAACTCCAGAAACTCTGGGTTTTTCTCTTACTAACAGGCTTGGAATTGGAGAGGGACTGAGCCAGAGTCCAACTTCAAAACCAGCTTTATAAATTTAGAAATATGGTTTAATATATTTTACTTACACAACTCATTCTGTTTTCATGATATTTCCTATTGGGCAGATATTTTTCCATCTGTCAGTATCCAAACATCCAGGGTCCCTTCAATTTTTCAAAGATGAGTGTTTTCCTGTAGAGATAAGAACAGAACCCTGCCCCCATTTTATATGTTTTTCTTACCACCTGTATGAATACCATCATTGGGGACGAGTTGTCATTTCTCCTTTCCAAGAGGTTTCTCCTCTTCAAATAGAAACTTTATTAATTTTGATGGTATCCACAATTTTTCTTCTGTGGAAACAAGAGCAAAACCCCTTCCCCAACGTAGCACATTTCCTGGCTTCCATTGAGAGGTCAGCACATCTTTGAAATAAATCAGTTGGTTTAGTTCAGCAGACTTTTCCATTATCCAATGTGTTTCTGCTGCTGTCATTCCTTTCTCATTAGCGTTAAGAAAATTCAAGGTTAATAAAGCATTATGTAATCTATTTCTGGGGGTATTTTCGGGCCCCTTTCTCTTTGTTCAGCATATCCTTTATAGTACGATTTGATCTTTCTATAACTGCCTGACCTGTAGGATTATTTGGTATACCTGTAATGTGTTTTATATTATAATAATCAAAAAAGCGTTTGATTTTCTTAGATACATATGCTGGACCATTATCTGTCTTTATTTGTGCAGGTATACCCATGATGGCCATAACTTCTAATAAATGTGTGATTACTGAATCAGCCTTTTCTGAGCTCAGGGCAGTAGCCCATTGAAAACCTGAATACGTGTCTATGGTGTGGTGTACATATTTTAATTTACCCAATTCCATAAAGTGGAACGCATCCATCTGCCAGATTTCATTTCTCTTAGTGCCCTTTGGGTTACTCCCTGCAGGCAACGGTGTTTGATTATAGAAAGAACAAGTAGGACATCTCTTTATAATGTCCTTAGCTTGTTGCCAAGTAATGGAAAATTCTTTCTTTAGGCCTTTACTATTGACATGATGCTTCTTATGAAATTCTGAGGCCTGCAACACACTTCCAATCAATAATTGATCAATCTCAATGTTGCCTTCGGCTAGAGGACCAGGCAGACCTGTATGGGACCGGATATGTGTTATGTACATCGGACAAAGCCTGTTCCTGATTATGTCTTGTACCTGGATAAACAATGAAGTCAACTCTGTGTCATTTGGTATAAATTCAGCAGTTTCAATATGCAAGATAACTCTTTCTGCATATTGTAAATCTGTAACTACATTAAGAGGTTCTTTAAAATCCCTTAGCACCATAAGAATGGCATATAATTCTGCCTTCTGGACAGAATTATAAGTGCTTTGTTCCACCTTAGTCAATTCATCTGACTTGTAACCTGCTTTCCCTGATTTATCTGCATCAGTATAGAACGTATGGGCTCCAGTTATTGGAGCATCACGTACAATTCTAGGAAGAATCCAAGAAGTTCTTTTTATGAGGTTAAGTCTACCACTTTTGGGATAGTTGCTATTAATTTCTCCCAAAAAATTAGCACAAGCTCTTTGCCACGGTTCATTGTCTTCCCGTAGCTTTTTTATTTCTTCAGAAGTAAAAGGCACTATAATTTCTGCTGGGTCTATATCTGCTAGTTGACGAAGTCTCAGCTTACCTTTTATAATTAATTCAGAGACTTTTTCCACATAAGTTTTTAATTTTTTACTTGGTTTATTAGGTATAAATATCCACTCTAAAATAATATCTTCCCTCTGCATTAGAATCCCTGTAGGAGAAATTCTGGAAGGCAATATGACTAGGATGCAGCTAAGATTTGGGTTCACCCTATCCACATGTGCCTCCTGTAATTTTTCCTCAATCATTGTCAGTTCCTTTTCTGCTTCAGCTGTCAGTTTTCTTGGACTATTCAAATCTTTATCACCATCTAAGGTTTTGTTTAAATGAACTATTAGATCAGGTGTTATCCCAACAGCTGGTCATAGACAGGAAATGTCTCCTAACAATCTTTGGAAGTCATTAAGAGTCTTTAACCGGTCTCTCCTAATTTGTGCCTTTTGCGTTTTAATTTTCTCTAACCCTACTCTGTAACCTAGGTAATTAATAGAATTTCTTCTTTGAATCTTTTTGGGGCAATTTGTCATCCCCACCTAGGCAAGACTTTCTTTACTTCTTCAAACATCCTTTCTAAAGTATCTTTATTTGAATCAGATAACAAGATGTCATCC